TTTCTCTTTTTAGCAGATGGTAAGCCGGTACCTTCTGTTACTTCATTTGCTGAAGATTCAGTTGCATTCACTAAAACATTTTCCTCAAATCCTGCCACACGGTGAATTTCAACACACCCGGGAACATCAAATGGTTCTTCATCATCAATTACGTTGTCATCCGTGTCCTCATTATCTGAAATCTCATCAACCCGCTCTGGTGGAATTTAAACAATATCTATGGGGCTATTATCGTCGTCATCGTCAGATGCAAAAAAAAAAAAATCATCAGAATTTACAATTTCTTCTATTTCTTTTACAAAAGGATATCTTTTACGCGACATTTCTTGGAAAACCCATCCAAAGAAAAACCGTTTTTTTACAATTTTAGTCAGTATCAGCCATGATGAGGGAAATCAGTACAACAAAATAATTGTTCCTAAGTAACATTTTTGTGCTTTGAAAATAATCGTATTATTTTTTTCGTGAAAAGTAACGAGAGAGCAAGAAAAATAAACTCGTGAGCTCAACTAACCGAGTCCACGTGTTTGTTTAAGATTTCTACCCTTAGTTGTAATTTTCAGGAAAGCATGACCACCCGTAAGGGACCACTCAGGTGCAGCATGACGTCACAATGTATACAACTGTAGGCGATCCCCATATGGGGATCATGGCAGGGAATGGGTTAACATATAAAATATCGTGTCCACACATGTAATCCACAATTCGGAGTAATATGCTTAAAATATACTTTACAAGAGATAAATACCTATTAAGCACCAATTCTGTTTTACCCCACGTAGAATTAGTACATCTTGCTTTGCAGCTACTAAATAAATTTATTATCACATATAGTGCATGCTGTTTTTCGCAATAGGCAGAAGAATAAGCTAAAACAGTAAGTCTGTCCTTGAAGATTGTTCTTGGTATGATTTCCAATTAAGGCAACTAAGAACTACGAGTAAAGGTAACTAACGTCTTTTAATTTAACTGATTAAAAACATGAGGAATACTTTTATTCTTTTGAATTTTTATTTTTAGGAAACAGAGTAAAATTAAAGATTTTATTTTAAAATTGTCACTGCACTACTTCTAAATAACCTGCGCAATTCGTTAACCGATGTTTACATACCTATCAAGCTGTAACATCGGGTGTTTTTGAATCCTGATTATGATTTAAGGGGGTCATACACCTTTCCCTCTTCCCCGCATACACAGCGATCCGTGTTAGAAATAGTGCGTCTGTTGAAGTAGTCCGAGAAGGGACCGTGCCCAGTTACAAAGTTAGTAAGTGGAGCGTTTGCTATGAGTCTCTCCGTTGTCACCATCGGTAGAAAGCCATACACTCTTCTTCCTGTGTTTCCATGTTCCCATACTCTTTGCCACCAGTGGACTGCTGCGCCTTTCAGCAGTCTTTTAAGATTGGAAGGTGGCGCCGGAACAGCGATGGGACGTGCGTTGATGTTTGAGGCTGCCTCTTTGGCGAGCACGTCCGCTGCCTCATTACCTGCATTGCCCTTCGTGAGCTTTCACCCACGTCATGTCCACGTGTACCTGTGGGTTATCTTTTAAGAGTTTTTTGAAGGCGGATGATCAACGGGGAAACATGGTTGTGTTTGCCTTAGGGCCAGCAAGGCAGACATACTATCCGTATAGAGATAAGCTTTTGAGATTTTTCGGCTTATTAGATATTCAACAGCAGCTGTAATTGCTATCACTTCTGGCCTGAAAGACGCTATTGCTGTCACCTAGGTGGCCTTTCCAATGATGTAATTCTTGGCTTTGCCAACAGTGCAGGAAAGCACTGCCAACGCCTTCAGCATGTTTAGAACCATCAGTGTAAAGTGTATGGTTGCTGATGTGCTGTATTTCCTTGTTGGGCTGTTGCATGATGTGGGTGTGGACCCCTAGTCCTTTATGCGCTGGATGTGTGTGCAGCGGTGTCTTGGGGTGCTCATAAAGTGCTGGACTGTAGAGAGTACCTGCGAAGGAGGCGTCTTTCCTCAAGTGAAGGACTCTCGTATATGTCGCCTCTAGCTCGGCCTGGATGTGTAGAGGGACTATACCTGCTAGAGTAAGGGCGGAGCTCGTGGCTGTTGTGCAGTATGCCCTGCAGATGCTTATGACAAAAGGGCGTTGGAGTGATGTTAACTGCTTGATTTTCCTCGTTGTCATCGGTTGAGCCCAGATTGCAGCTGCGTACAGCGCAATCTTTTCCACCACCGTGCTATAAAGCACTTTTTGAATGTGGGGATTTAGTCCCCAATTCCTTCCTTGAAATTTCCGTGTCATTCTGGCTATAGCGGAGGTTTTTGCTCTCTGTTGCTGCAAATGTGGCACCATGTTAAGCCAGAGTCCCAGACCACTCCTAGATGCTTCTGTGTATCCGTGAATTTAATGTTGCGGCCAAGTAATCGGATACAAGGACGACGTACAGGCCTCGTGCCCGGTCTCGGGATGAGGAGTGCAGAAGACTTGGTGATAGAAATCTTCAGCTTAAAATCTTCGCATAGGCTTGCGAACTTGGCGCACGCTTCGCTGCCATTGGCTTCAGTTTCGTCTCGTGTGCGACCTTTAACAAGGAGAGCCACGTCATCAGCATATGCAATGATAGTTGTGTGATTTTGTTAAAAGTCAGGTTTCAGAGCAAGGGCCCTGCACAGGACCCTTGTGGGCAGCCTCTGACTTGGGTCTTAGTAACAATGCCATTATTGCTCGCTATAAGTAATTGCTTATCTGTGAGATAACTCTCAAAGACTTGGTAGATGTTCCACGGGCATTGCGCCTCTCTGAGGGCCTCCTTGATGGCGGGACACCAGAGGGTGTCGAAAGCACTCTGGAGGTCTACTGAGATGAATGCAGTCTGAAGATTCTGTGAGCGATTAAGCTGGACTTCATCATATATTCGTTGAAGGGCATGTGTGGTTGAGCAACCTGAACGGAAGCCATATTGCTTGGGACTGAGGAAGTTGTTTTTTGTGAATATGATACTTCAGCCTGTTACCAGTTCGTTCAGATGCAATGCGGGCCCTGTACTGACTGTAGAGAGTACCTGGGACCCTTGTCTCGGTCACCTCTAGCTCGGCCTGGTGTGTAGAGGGACTTAGCTGCTAAAGTAAGGGCGGACTCGTGGCTGTTGTGCAGTATGCCCTGCAGATGCTCATGCAAAAGGGCGTTGGAAGTGATGTTAACTGCTTGATTTTCCTCGTTGTCATCGGTGATCCAATTGCAGCTGCGTACACGCAATCTTTTCCGCCACCGTGCTATAAAGCACTTTTTAATTGGGGATTTAGTCCCCATTCCTTCCTTGAATTTTCCGTGTCATTCTGGCTATAGCGGAGGTTTTTCTCTCTGTTGCTGCAATATCCATGTTAGACCAGATCCCAGACCACTCCTAGATGCTTCTGTGGTTCCGTGAATTTAATGTTGCGGCCAAGTAACGGATACAACGACGTACGGCCTCGTCCCGGTCTCGGGATGAGGAGTGCAGAAGACTTGGTTATAGAAATCTTCACTTAAAATCTTCGCATAGCTTGCGAACTTGGCCGCTCGCTCCATTGGCTTCAGTTTCGTCTCGTGTGCGACCTTTAACAAGGAGAGCCACGTCATCAGCATATGCAATGATAGTTGTGTGATTTTGTTAAAAGTCAGGTTTCAGAGCAAGGGCCCTGCACAGGACCCTTGTGGGCAGCCTCTGACTTGTTCTTTAACAATCCATTATTGCTCGCTATAAGTAATTGCTTATCTGTGAGATAACTCTCAAAGACTTGGTAGATGTTCCACGGGCATTGCGCCTCTCTGAGGGCCTCCTTGATGGCGGGACACCAGAGGGTGTCGAAAGCACTCTGGAGGTCTACTGAGATAATGCAGTCTGAAGATTCTGTGAGCGATTAAGCTGGACTTCGTCATATATCGTTGAAGGGCATGTGTGGTTTGAGCAACCTGAACGAAACCATTTGCTGGGACTGAGGAAGTTGTTTTTGTGATAATACTTCACCTGTTAACAGTCGCCATTAAAATCAAACATTTCGTGCCATTTTTCGCATCCAAAGGTAAACTTTTGTGTCTAAAACTGGGTTCAGAATATTTCTTTCCCCCTTTCACCATCTGTGAAAGCCTATTTAGAAGTTCTGTTCAATCAGATTGAACAGCGTACCTGTCACACTGAAGGGGTGAATAACGACCCCCTAAGAAGCAACGTAAAACACAAGACTGGTGTAATCCTAAGAGCAGATATTTTTCCCTTTGCACCCACCCCACTTCCATTTCCTGCACTAACCCCAAATCTATTGCAATGTAATGTAATTTTTAATTGTCAAGAAAAGCTTTATATAACGTAAAAAAGGCATTAGCTAGTATTTGAAATATCCTTGAATTTTGTTTTTTGTTTTCTTGATGGCCTGTAACAAAGAGAAGAATGAATCGTTAAGAATTGAAAGGATAAGCATTCAATCCCTTTGTCCGTTAATAGAAAAGGAGAAAGCCGTTGTGGATCCCATAAGATTGTTTGAGGGGTAGCTTGTCGAAGAAAGTGTCCCCATCCTTTACTTTCCTGAAACAGCCCCGCTGTGATCCTAATGCAACACCGCTGAGAAGATAAGTAACCCATCAATCAGCCCTTTTGATTTTCGACTCATTCTGTGGGGGTTGGAAAACGTCGCTGCGTCGTATGTGTCTCGGGGTTACGGTTCAGACCAATTTCACCCGACGAGAGTCTGCCGACGCTAACGGATGACGATGCCTTTTCTGTGACTATTTCTCTCGGGCAAACGGTGACTGGTTAACTATGATCTTTTCATAGACCTTACCTAACGCTGAAAGAGAAGATCGGACGAAAGGAGCAGGGAATCTATTGGGTTCTTATCTTTTTTGAGAAAAAGTACCACGTGTCCCTTCTTGAAAGCTTGTGGAAATACTCTGTGGTGCAGGAGTTTATTGAAGTAGAGGCAAAGAAGGTGGGCGTGCTCGGAAGGCGACCTTTAAGATTGCATTATCAAGTCCGTCCGGACCCGGTGCCTTCTTCAGTGGTAGATGGCGGAAGATGTGAGTGACTTCCTGTATTGTAATGGGGACATCTTCTGGCGTTTTGGGGTCTCTGTGGCGTTTCTCAAAAGTCGCTGGGCCGTCGTGTCGTCCTGTTCTGGATCCGCTGGGAAGATTGCATCAAGCAGTGCTGTGGTCGTGGACCCTGCTAAGTCAGTTGTTTGTGGTAGATTCCCTGGCTGCACTGGCACTTGTGCCGGCTGGAAGATTTTCTGCGTGGCCAATTTATGCAGGATTCCGTAAGGATTGCTATTGCTGGTACAAAAATTGCGCCAGCTGTTGATTTTGGCTTCTAGAATTGCTTTTTTATATGTAGCCCGTGCTTGTCGGAATGCAGTTACCAACCTTTCTGTTTCTGTGCCGTCTCCAGCCCTTCGGAGACGGCGACGCAAGGCTCGGCACCTTTGGCGCATTTGTCTCAGCTGCTTAGTCCACCACGTAATGCCTTGCAGTTTCTTGGCAGTCCTGATTGGTAGAATTCGCTCGCATGTGCACCTGAGAGTGGTGAGAACATTATCTGTGTAGATATTCATATCATACTGGTCATTGTGCGTATTAAGCTCCGTCTCTTCTCTTTTGAGAGTTTCGCTGAGGATGCGATGCAGATGCCTAATCTTGCCACCCGGAAGCTTAATCCTTTTTAATATGCTAATGCTGGTGTCTACTTGAATGAGGAAATGGATGTACTTATGATCGGAATTCCTTTCAACATCCATGACAGTCCAAGAGTAAATATTGATGACAATGTCCGATGTTGAAAGGGTCAAGTTGGGCCATCCTTTATGATACGAGTTGTCAAATGTTGGCTGTGCACCGGGGCTGTTATGCAAATGCAGGTTATTGCTCGCCATGAAGTTTTCCATTTCATGGCCCTTAGGAGTCGTGTCACGGTAGCCCCAGATGACGTTGTGGGCGTTGAAGTCGCCTCCAATGATGTGTGGTACCGTACAAAGATTGCAGAGTGCCCTCCGACACTGAAACGTCTGCCCCGAAGCCTTTGAGAATCTTCAAGCCGGGCGGAGAGGCGGCCTTCACAAAACGTCATATACTAGGATTTAGATATTCGAATTGACGCCAGTGATGACTAGACCGTCACACACAGTTCTATGCGAGTACACTAATTGAATTGATGCCATCACTGAGAAATTTCTGAGAGAAACGTGTTGGTCTTCTTATTATCTACAGGGCCTGGATGAAAGAAGCGAAGAAAGCGCTCATTTAAGAGAACTAAACACCCTTTTACAACTATGAGTACTCAACAGTTTTAGCGGTTCTGGCTTTGATGGGCGAAATACTGTTATTGAATATAACAGGCATCAAATAGTAACCTTAGTTGTTTAATGCATTTTCCAAAAATAAATCTATGCTTGTTATATTAATTTACTGCACAAATGCGTAGAAATTCCTATTTACTAGTGAAAAATCTTCAGTCTTCTTATTACCAGCAATCACTTTTGATAGACAAGATGGTCAAGACTATTTAGCAGTGAAAATAATGTCACTGATGCCTATTCGAATCAATTAATAATATGACTTTCTGAAGAACATTTTATTTATCAATATATTCTGTTACAAAATTTGTACTATAAATTATATTTTAAAACAATAGCATAAATAAATTATATCAATGACTTTATAAAATGTTTCATTTTCTATTAACTCGAAGGTAGAATTCTTTTTATAGACTGAAATTTGATATAGAATTCTTGTTATAGACCGAAATTTGATATAAGAGAAATAACTTCCTTGAGTTAATATCTAACCTATTTTTAGCGTTTATTAGTTAATAGATAATTTGATTTTTACTCTTATAACTACTTTTGTTTAAACGATAAAATTTCTAAATTTAGTCGTAAGCCGCATGGTTAAAAGGTAGCAGGCTAATCTTAAGCAAAAGAATATTGAAACTTTTGGCTACGCCCTCGAGGTTTCTGACTGGGCATTATTTCCAGCTGTGTTTATCAGCGGCAAATTTCAGTAGAGTTTGTTGTAAGAAGTGCTTTACGAAATTAGAGATAGAGTAGCCGACTAGGAAAAGTTTTAAATGGAAGATCTTGTTATAAGTAAATTAAATATTAGCGACAGGGAAATATTAGCGACAGTAACCTCATCTTTCCTTGTCTGGAATATTACGTTTTAGTGCAAAAGAATCAACAGTAATGCAAGAGTAAGTCAATCGATTTAATTTGTGTTAGCTGTTTGGTTGTAAAGCACCAAGATGGATAAACATATTTAGAAGTTGGCTTTTGTTTGTCTGGCCAATTGGAGCATAGAGAAAGGTGATAATTCGGCAACAAGTTAAGATCACTTTGAGGGTAGGTGTTAAACTGATCCCTCAATTTTATTTGACAGCCACTGCAATAGCACCAGAAGCACAAAGATATGTGCAAGTAAACGTTTATGTGCTAGTTAAAGGTCTGGAATAAGCGTTGCGTAAACAATGTTGTATTAGTGCAGTACAGTATTTTAAAGTAGTGATACATGGCAGTAATAAAGTGGTAACACAATTTGTAGAACTTACACACTTTGAAAGAAAAATTCTTAATTTTAGAAGGCTTGTGTCCAGACCGGTCAGCAACACTTTGGAATACTGCAATCACTTAAGTGATGCGTTTAGAGTAGCAGTCGGCAAACTCATTAGTCAAAAGGCCCGAAGATCAGTAGTAGAACGATTAAGATTTCTTCTTAAGAACCAATTTTTAGCAATCGGTTTAAACTATCCACTAACTTTAACTAAAACCAGATGTCATAATAACAATAATCTTATTTACTGATGAAAATATTTTTTATGTTATAAAAAAATATGACAACGACCTTGCATTTGCTTGGAGAGTTTAGGAAAGTCAGGTTTGTACGTCGTTGTTTTAATTTCAAGCAAGATTCCAGGCTCTCATCTACAAGATGGTTTCTCAATTTACTTTCGATAAGGCTCATGTTTGAAAAAGATTGTTTGCATGAACATGTAGAACCAAAAGGTATAAGAATAGGAAATACTAGTAATTCACTGATACTATGAGTCTTAAATACTGTTTTAACTGTTTAAAATTATGTCACTTTCCTTCTCCAGATCTACGATTAAGATCCATTTTTCTTTGTTTCGACTTTGTAGCCATGTAAAATAGGTGACACCTAAAAACGTATTTCAGTTTATAAATTTAAAAGCACGAAGTTAATCTGCTGTCAAAGCTCCCTGTGAGATCTGAAGATGGTTGAAAGATACAAGTAGCTTAATACGCCGAATAGGTACTCCCTTCGTTCGCATGAGACCTTTCGGCATGCGAGGCACTGGTCATTGTTAACGCTGGCGGTTAAACAGTGACTGGCTGCGTATGCCTCCTCCAGGCCGTATACTCCGAGTCCGCTTGCGCAAAGTTCCTGCGGTATTGAACATAGTAAAACCACTTTTTGATGTAAAATATCTCTATATTGTCATGTATTGTATAGTAAGCATTGTTGTTATAAGAATCCGCAATACGTCTGTCTTCCAATATCAGCTTCTGTTTGGGAATGTTGTTTTTCTGGACAGTTGCATTTGTCATTTGACAGTTAAGTCCAAATATAATCGCGAATAATTAACTTAAGGTTCGATTTACATACTAAAATTACAATTTCTTACCTGCAGTCTCATGGACAGAAACCATAATCCTAGATAAACACATATTTTTAGTTACAAAAGTATTTCATTATTTATATAAGCCCTTAAGTACTCCTATCACATATTAAGGTCACAAATAACATACTAAAATAAATAAAATAATAACGTCATCTTAATCTCGGCACAAATTTATTAAATACTGATATTTATATAATTCAAATTTCACATAGTCGATTCTGCCACTAAGATGAGGTGAAGTGTACTTTCGACTGCAGATGCAGGAAACCGGAATCTAAACAAGCTTACGAGATGCTGAAAAATAACACTCGGAAACGCAGATTGTCGTGTATTAAAGTAACCTCTCCTAACATAATTTGAGATTTAATACTGTCCTTTATTGTTAGTAGAAGGAAGACCTTCATCTCCAACATGCTAGATAGTGTTAAATAACCCTTGTTAAATATGTGAAAATTCATTGGTGCCGAAGCCCAGGATCTGCCGCTGAGAGAGGTTTTGTTAATATTCAGGTTCCCCTTAATTGTCATGAAATAAAATCTTAACTCATAGTAGAAACAAAAATTTTTGAAACCAACATAGCCTACCATTCGATTAACACAAATCACACAATAATCATTTAAACTGCATGCATATTTATTAATTATATTCCGATCAATGACATTACATATTATTTTTAGGTTTAATCCTCCGGAGCCTAAAAGAAAATTAAGCACAGAAATTTAAGGAAGGTATCTAAGATTACATATTTTTTCCTTGACTAATATAGACTTGATATGAATATGCTTTCTTGATTAATATAGAAATTCCTACGAACATAATTTTACTGAGTCCCTATTTCATGGAACATAAAATTCTCAAAAAAAATTGTAAGAGCAACAGGTTCCTGTAATCGTTAGAATAAAGAATGAAAACAATTTCTAAGGTGAGAAAAAAGAACTAAAAAAATAAACTGAGCTTGGGAAAAATGGTCCAGGAATGGTTCGCACTAATCAGCACCTCACTAATGGGAACACACTATCGCCCTTTTAATTCAAGCTGAAAGAACGTCCAGGGGTCGTTCCAACTCCGGTGTTTCCTTATCTCGTTTCACAAGTGAGTCATCATGGAATAAGCCCAGAAGTTCAGATTTGCAAGCAACCGAGACCTCAAACCCAAAGCAATTAAGCAAGCCCGCGCGAGGAAGAAACGGAAAAGAAGTCAGTAGTGTACTGCCCGAACCCTCAGATTTCACTCCAAAAATACTCACAAGCACGGTTTCCCAGACTTGACAAAACTCGCCCCTCAAAAGTTTCCAAAGTTCCAATCCTTTTCTTCCAAAACCCTTCACTTCACTAGTGAGCAAATCCGCTGCCTGCAAAAATTAGTCAATTCACCCCAAAACCCGCCCGCAAGAGCCTGACGGCTTCTCGACCTTTTCCATTAACCTACATGCTTACAAGAATACTCATCACGTACATTTGCCTTCAGCTAAACCCTGAACAAAAGACCTAGCTTCTAGAATCTTGTTGAAGATTCCTTGAATGAAAGAAGACAAGAGAACGAAATGGCGGAAAGGAAACGAATATCAGGCGACCCTGCTCTTTTACATTAAAACCTTAAATCAAACTTAACATTTCACAATAAATCCATTACAGTTAGTTAGATATTTCTTTTTCACTTTATACTTTTACATAAATTTTACTTGCGGCACTAGTTCACAGACTGCATACCAACATATTAAGAATTATGTGAAAAAAAGTAGAAGAATAGTCTCTTAAAAATAAATATACAGAAATAAACGCTTCTTTCTAGAAACACAAAAAATTAAACTTAATATCTAATTAAATAAACCTAATAAGAAATTATTTAATTCGTAAAACCCCGAATTTTACTACACAACAATATTAACATTAACAGTTTCTTTGCAGTACATCGGGAACAGGAACACAACCCTGAGATAACTGCACTTCAGCAGTCGGACTCAGAAGCTGATTTTCTATGAGTGCGCCAACAGTTTTTTAATAAATTCAGCGAACAAGAACACCATACCCGGAATATCACACCTCATCAGTCGCTGCCGAAAACCAATGTTCTAAATCACTAAATCAGAAATTGAAATGCTCACGCACCTTTTTATTTTTTCGAATTAAAGAACAATCCCTATAACTGAGACTCGGTTGATCATGACTTTTATAGTCATAAATTTGGTATATTTTGTGGATACACCCATCGTGAAAAGACAAACACAAAGATCATCGC